AAAACACAATGTTTAAAAGGCAGTGGTATTTGTGAGTCTGTGTATGCATTTATAACACAGTATTTGATACAGCAGCTCTGCAAGGTAAATGCTAATATATTTATAGAAGAGGGTATGACATCAGAGATTGCTCCCTAAACTTCTGTTTTATCGAATGAAATATAATTAATTGTAAATGTACATTGTAATTGTAAATAAATTACCCAGTCATATGGGTCACTGAGACAAACTAAACACAGATCTGAAAAGCTAAGTGAAAAGAGGAATATAACGAGCAATTTCATTTTGAAAAAAACTCCCAGAGATTTCAGATCTTACTTACACAAGTAAATCTTACGCTACTGGGCATGGCAATATTGCTGACTTTTATGTTAGCATGGAGTGATGAATGTTTTATAGCATTACAAAATTTCAAAACATTTATAAGTATTACAAAATTTTATTTAGAATCTTGCAAAACTGTTAGCGTAAGGAAACGGATCTGTTAGTGAGGTCACCCGAGGCATTCCACTTCAATGTCAACAATTATATACGATAGTATAGAAAACATGATGTTGAAATTGCTTTGTTAAGCAAGAAATTATTTAGTAGGTCTCTCTAAGCTAACCAGTTTAGAGATCTGGCAGATCATATGATAAAAATAAAGGCATCTCTTTCCAAAAACACAGTTTCCCAGATTTAGTTTTGGGTTTCTCCTCATCTTCCCCACAATCAATGTATGGATTGGTTCCATGTAATACATACCAAGGAATGAAAATCTGTAGAATCTGCCCATGATCTGGCAAACCTTCCCAATGGTAAATAACCTTGATTCCTCTAAGTTCAGCAGAGTGAGGAAGTTACAGAGCAGAAGAGGTCATCTCCTGACCTAATGCATGCAGCCAGGCTTGTGCACGTCTCCCACATAGTCTAAAAAGTCACAGTAAGACCCTGGCCTTCATCAACAGAAAGGTCCCATTTAATTCAGTATTTAAATAGATTAATCTGACTTGCTTTAGATGCCTGTAAAAGGAAAATATGGATTTCACCTTAGGAACGAAATTTTTCTCTGCTGACTGTAAAATGAGCAGAGGGTTACTAACTCAGTCAGAGACCTGTACAGAGCTGATGCTTACACTTTTACATTCCACTATGGGTGCCAAATTATAAATTTCTAGACAAATTGCCAGAGCTCTACGTCACCAAAATGCTTGCCTGCATGTAGCAACGTATATTTCAAATAAGGGGAAAATTTTCCATCTTGAATGAGCTGTTGAAACACCACTGAGGTGGGCAGGAAATGTGACCAGATTGTCACAGTTAAGTCACTAGCTGCTGAGCAGACTTCCAGCTCAGAGGCAGCAGTGCACGTCAGGCAGCGTGGAGTTCATCTCCGTTCCCACACTGGTTGGTGCCTGGACTCAGGCAGTGCTGAGCACTTCTCATTCTTCGGTCAAGTCTGCACTGAGACTTGGTGAAAGAAGGGAAAGAAGAGCGGGGATGGCAGCAGCACCAGTTCCTCACCTCAGTGCCTTCTCCATTGCCTGTCCCCTGACAACCTGAGCTAGCTACAGCATCCCCTTGGCATGCTGTCTTTCCTCCCAGCTTTCACATTTTCCCTTCAACTTCCTTCCCTCGGAATGGCTAGCTTGGTAAAGTTACCCTATTTCCTCTAACCACACAGTGCCCCCCAAGCCCTGCTTGATGCACAACCTTTTTGTTCTGCTTCCCACCAGTCTGGTAAACTGGTGGCCTCCTTTCCTCATGCTGCAGCATAAAGCAGGACATCTGAAAGCCTAGCATTAGTGCACACTGGAATATCTTGCTGGAAATTAGAATAAGGCAACACTGGCCAACCTAGTTAGTCTGGATAGGGTCTGGAGGGTTCCCCACCTACCTCAAGTGTGGGTGGTAATGACAGAAGAGACAGGAGTGAGAAGGATGGGCAGGAGAACGGGATACTGAGATCATCTCCATAAAACACTGAAACTACCACTGACCCACTTTCCATCAAGAGTGACTGAACTACAAGGAAATTAACTGGACTTGGAGCCTAAAGGTGATTTAAAGTTTTACATGAGCACCTCTTTTTTTAAACAAGTGAGTATTGTTTCTATTTGTAAAGTCCTCTGGAAATCAACTGTGATCTTATAAGGTCACAATCTTGAAAATCTAGTCACACCAGATCTGTATTCTACACAAAGTTAAAAGCATGCGAGCTTTTTGGCTGATGTAACGCTGACATACAGCTGCATAGAGACAGCACTGAAATTTGATCAAATACAAGGGAGGAAAATTAGAAGTTGTATGGCTGGATTTTAATGAAGGTATGCTGATAATTTAAAAATAATTTAAAATTTTAAAATTATTTTACAATATAAAGTAATTTAATGTTCCAGTGCACCTTGGAACACTCTATATGAATTCTGATGCAGACACTGGTTGAAATGCATATCATAGTTTGGTCCATATGCATTTACTCTGCATTATGAGACAGAACTGATTGCTTGCATCTAAGTATGTGTACTCATGAAAATTAAAGGCAATTAAATATGAAACTTCCCCATTAGTCTTCTCCTTCTACCTGTATTTTCCAGGTGTAAAATGTACAACGTAAAACATTGTACAAATCAGCATCAAAGTAAAAAGACGAGTCAGGTTAACACTGTAAAATGCATCTATCCCTCTTAATTACATAGGAAGTTCTACTATATAGTCTGTTTCCCATCTTCCCCGCAGAAGAATCATGAGCTAAGTGCGAACACAGCTCCCTCTAGAGCTTCAGTATTAGGCAAAAACACAGCACGCAAACCCCCAGCTCCAAAACCTTCGTTTAAATGCAGCAGAAAGGCAGCGCCATGAGAAAAAGCAAAATCCACACCAGAGAGGCCAGGCCGCCTGCTGTAAAGGCTGCAGGCTGAGATTCAGAAAACCTTCCGTCAGAGGCAGATCCTCTGTTACCTGTGAAAACGGCATACCTTTCCAATGTAAGCTTGTAGGAAAAGTGTTAACAGGTCCCTGGTTTATGGGAGAGGTGCGATACAAAGCCCTGAACACTTGAACTTTATTTGCTGTCTAGTAAGGCAGGCGTTGACAGGGTTCGCATACCTGTGTGCATGGAGTGAGAGAACAGAGGGTGTGAGCTAGCCGAACGCTTGTGTCAAGCATTTTGCGTGGTGAGGCCAGAACTGGCACATTCAGCTCTTCAGAATTTACAGGATTTAAGTTGATTAACCCAACATCGCTTCCGCAGTATCACCTGCCCTCCACAGCAGACATCGGCGAGCCGGGGTGGTGCTAGCACCCCCTGCCCCTGACAGCCAGCCAGAGGTTCGCACTGGACGAAGCTGGATGTTGTGCCGTTTCACCAGTATTCCCACAGCGAACAGAGTGGAAGGGAGGGGTGGTACAAGTGTTTCGGGACATTGAGAAGGCGGGGAGACACGGACTGCGGACACGTCCAGGTGTGCTTGCGCACCTACATGGACCCGCTCCCGGGAACACTGGGCCGAGGCCAGGCCCGTCCGGGGGACGCGCCGCCCCTTCCCTCCGTGCCCCCTTCCTCACAACAACGCCAGTGGCCTCAAAAATCCCCTCCTCCGCTTGCTCAACGCCAAAGTGCTTCCGCCAGCCCCGCTCCCGATGTCCCACCCTCGTCACTCCCACTCACT